ATATTCTACAGTCATCTCTCTAATAAAAATATACAAAGAAACAACAGCCCTCGAAATAAGGGCTCGTTCAAAGAAGTTGAAAACGAAGTTCAACCTTGTTCTTTCTCCCTCGATCGAGAGAGAAAGAAAGGGATCCAAGTGGCAACGAGGGGAGAGCTGGAAACATCGTTAAGAAATTCGAGCCAATTATCCCCCTAATTCACGAGAAGTTCGGTGTTTGCCGGTTAACCATCGACACGAGGAGAATAACGTTTTGCAGTAGGACTCGAACGCCTTTGCCTTTGTTTCGTGGAGAAAGCGGGATACAAGGGAACGAGAATTATTCACCGTCCCAAACTCGAAACAATCTCGCGAGATCTTGAGTCGCTGCAATCCCATGCATGCAGCCAGCGATTTCTGGGAAAGGGACCATCTTTCCTCCGTTTTTAGACGAATTCCAGCCACGCTGGGAATTCCAACAGGGAATCCTCCATTTTGGAGAACGAGAAAAGGGAAAGGGAAATTCCGTGATGAATTTTTGAAAAAAGTTTTGAGAAGAGAATTTGATTCAAAATGGGGTTATACACGTTGATGTACGGGAGAGTATTAATTAATAAGAGAAGTAGAGGAAGAAATTATATATATATCTATAATTTAATCTTTGGACGTTTCTTCGTTTCGTTGCTGTTCTTTTTTTTTTTTTTTTTTAAAAAACTATATACTCGTTGTTAATTAAATTTTTATCACGGTTTCTTGAAAATATTAATCAAGTTTCCAAGCGAAAAGTTGCAGTTCCAGGTATAACAACCGAAGAAAAATTGCATCGCGTTTCTCGAACGTGGATTGTTTGAATTATTGCTGGCTGCGTGTAAATTGAGACAAAGTTGTACGAGAGTTCAACGTCCCGCAAGTCAGGAAATCTAATCAACGACGAACTTCTTTTCCCGCACCGATGAGAGCCCGTGTTTCGTAGCAAAGTAAGAATTTTAGGAAGACCGTTCGATTTTCGAAATCTCGTTAACTTTTTCATTAAACTCGCGAATTATTGCCTCAAAATTTTTTGCGTAATCCTTCAAATCCTCTAAATCTCCTTTTCGACATCGCGGTTTCAAATCAATTTAATTTCCAATCTTAAATTTCTCCGGAGGAAAATCACATTCGCGATATATCGATTCACGAATACATACATTTCTCATCGATTTCCATTTCCAATTCCATGAATAAAGGGAACTCGTGCTCTCAAATTCTTTCTTCCAAAATTGGAATTTTTCAAAGTAGTTGATCAGAACCTTGTCTAAGGAAGAAAAAAAGAAAATAATTTATCGTCATACACACGCGTTATTTACTTTTAGCTCGACAGATTAAGATTAATCCAAGGTACTCTTGGAACGAAATCAGAGATCCGTCTGGGAACCAAATTTCCATCCATTTTGTTCCATCCAAATTGCGGGGAACAGAGTTCGATACATGCGGGGGAAGTAAACGAACTCGAAACGAGGCTTTCGACGGCTTCGAGAACAATGAAAATTCCGTGTCTGCCGTGGCTCGAATACACGTCGTGTAACGATCCTGCACGGTTACAGGCGGATACCAACTGCGGTTCCACGCACGTTTTCGAGATAAATCGTTTTCGTTTTCTTCCATCATTTCCATCGAGGTAAACTGAAAATAACAAGTGGACTCTTCTTGTTTATTTTCACGACGAATATTTGACCGAAGGATGAAAGGTAAATATCGAAAAATAAGACGTTTCTGAGGAGAGAAAAGAGACATTCTTAGCCCCCTTTTCTTAGATAAAATTTTTAGACAGGAAATTTTCGTGATTAGAGGATCGAAAGAATATTTAGCTGCTTTGCTTTCGAGATTCGCATCGATTTACGTCTCGTTTCGAAGAAGAATGAAAAGCGGAATTCATCAATTCGAGTTGAAAAACCATGTCGAATGTCTCCTCCTTTTAACCTGGTTACAGTAATATCGAATTGAAAAAAAAAAAGAAGTTGGAAGGGAAAGAAGTTACGATATAAGAAATTACGAGAAGATGAAATTACAAATTGCATAAGCAGTTTGAGCGAGAAAATAAAGAGAACTAATTCCAACTCGAGACTCCTTTCGACTATAATCGAGAAAAAAAAATATTCATCCAATTGCATCAAGAAACTTAATTTCAACGCAGAGATACAAAGATAAACGAAATTTATTAACCATTTCTTATCTTCATCGTATCTCGATACATTTCCTACAAATTCGCACGATTGCTCGAAATTAGAGACGATTATTGCCGCCGTTCCTCGATTTACCTTTCAAACAATCACTGCCGGTTATATAAATAACAGAGCGGAACAAGAGCGTCGGTTGTATCAATTACGCTTTCGTTCAGGCTGATTATCACAGACCGATATAGAACGAATTGTTTCGAGAGCGTAGTCGTTTGACGCGCAATTTCGAGAAGGCGCAATCCAGGTTTGTCATACTTAAGCGCGCTTAACGCGGTTGCCCTCGACGAAACTCTCTTCTTGCGCCGCGTGGCGCAAGAACGGCGAGGATAATGTTGGAACAACGGTGCGGTTAATCCCGTAATTAACCATCTCGCCGAGATCGTGACGGCCTAACCGAAATCGGGGAATTATTCAGAGAGGGGGATTGAATTGTTTCTACTTCGAGAAAAGTGTATTCTCTCGTTCTAGGATCAGATGATATCAGAGCAGTAATTAACTCTTTACGTTAGTTCGGTAATTGCCTTGAAGAGCTTACAATTTTCAATTTACAATTTGATTGATTCTTTGTTGAGATTTGATAATTTAAATTTAAACTTTTAGTCTTCGAAATTGAATATAAAAATTATTTTTAAATCTTAATTGTAAAATTAATATCAATTAATATCATAAAAATATTGGATATTATATTTTATTTTGGCATTATGATCATCGATAAGATTTAGAACAGAATTAAGATCTCCAGGATCGTATATAACCACGATTCGGATGAATTGTCTCGTTGATTTCGTTTGCTTCAGCTTACAAGTTTTTTGTTATTTTGGTTGTTGAGAGATTATTTTCAAAAACGCTTAAATTATCAGATGAATCGTCATTATTATTATTATTATTATTATTATACTAAAAATAAATGAGTAACTCGTTCTAGGGATTTTCTGTGTAAAAATTATGTAAAAAGATATACATATTTCTGTTCAAAAGAATGTTCACATTGATCGCGACAACTTCTGATTCCATTCTTATTCATTAATCAATGATAGTATCGATGATCACGATTAATAATTTTATATTAATCGTAATTTTCAATCATCGATCGAATTACCCAACTCCAATATGGCGTCTATTTGAAAGAGTTCCTCATCCTCTCGATTTTTGACGGCAAAAAATTACCCGACCCTCGACATTTATCTTTCGAATCATTATTCAAAATATCCATTTCGCCGGCTCCTCTCGTTTAAAATCGTCCCCCTTCTTGCTTTAACAATTAATATCGAACCGCCTCTGTTCATTAATTTCTGTAGACTAACAAACATCGACATTTATTCTCTCATCTCATGCTTTTAATAAAAGGCAGCGCCCTCGTTTAAACTGATTTTAAATGACGTGACGTGAATTAATAAATCAAAGCAACACGAGGCGCGTTGCAATAACAGAATCGATCCTGAAGCTGAAATAAATAGCGCATATATTAATACAGCGATTAGCCTTGATATTATCGTAAATACATTCCTTTATCGCGGATATGGAAATTAGAATTTCCATATTTCTCCTTCTTTCATAACATAAAATTCGAAATAGGTAGTAATAAAATAATCGAATCTGTAAAAATCTTACCTGATAGATGGAATCGAAATTGTCGCGTTCATTAATTCGTCACGAATTTAACGCGAGATCCGGGTTCGATTATATTAAACGATAATTCTTTGACCGGTTATTACCGGTGTTCCAATATATCGTAATTAATCAATTTAATAATTTCCATCGTTTTATCGTCTGATGAAGATTTAATAACATCAGTCGCGTTTATTTGAGATAATTAATCACGCAACAAATCCATACACATCCCCACGAGGGCTTCTTCGTTTATTATCACGTAACACGAAATATCGTGTACACACATTTTTTAACCGAAATAATATTGAAACTTTGAACTTATGTTATAATTTCGACGATAATACAATGATTCTCGATCAATAGGATAAAAGATCATTGAAAATATCTCGTTCTTCTCGTATATTATTTCGATACAATTTATTTCTGAGATGTTAAAAGATACTGATTTTTTTAAATCACTTCAAATCAAATGAAAAACGTATTAAAATTAGCAAAATTTTCAATCGTTAAAACTTTAAACATTAGAATTTGAATTTGAACGATCGTTAGAAATGCAGAATCTTCTACTCTTTCGTTTATCTCGATACGACTTTCGGTTCCCAAGGTATCTGTGAAAAGGAAACGATAATTTTCAATAATTTAGGAAAATTTCGAACACGATTACTTCCGATCAACGAGCGAACGATCGTTGGAAGCGCGGAACTTTCAAAACGCTCTCTCTCTCTCTTCTATTTCGATACGACTTTCGGTTCCCGAGATATCGTCGTGCGAAGAAAAGGCTAATTTTTTTAAATCCTTCACCATTTCCTTATTCGAGTCTCTCATTTCACACCTCGTTATCCCAAACTCGAGACAGACTCCTGAAGAAGCATATCAATTTATTGGCCAATCAAGAAAACACGCAGTTCCATTCATAAATTCATCGAAACCAGACACTTCCTTACGTGTCTCACGTTTCTCCAAAAAGCTCGCAATTTTAATTCAATCAACTTCAACGAGGCGTATATTTTCATCGTATATTCACGTTCGTCGTTCCAAAATTATATTAATCGTCTCGTTATTCTCCTTTCTTTTTCTCAGGATCTCTCGCATGATGCGACGATGAGGGGTGTTGACGAGAGAACAAGACACCCGGACGAGGGGCCGAGGCTGCCTCCACCCTCGTGAACGGACGAATCGAGAACCGTGTGCTGGCGAAAGAAGAAGAAGAAAATAACGAAAGGAAAAAAATGTGTCGGTTCGCGTACGCCCTCGCGTTGCTTCTGTCGGTGGTCGACTGCCTGCAGACCAGCGGCGTGACGAGGGGGGGCAGCGGTATCCAAATAGGGACCAGCGATCGCAGCGCTTTCGGAAAGGCGACGGGATACGGGGGACGCGGCCACTCGGGCGTGAAACTCGGCGAGGCGAGGTTCCCCAACTCGACGAGGCAGAGGCCGTACACCACCCCGTCCACGACCACCACCTTCACCTACGCGCCACCTTCGACCGACAAGAACGGGTACAACAGCACCTTGAAGGTGAGCAGCGGTTCGAATGGAAATTTTGCGAGGAGGAGGAGGGGGTCCAAGGGAATTGGGTCATTAATATTCTCCGGCTGCCGTTTTCCAGATTTATGGAAATTGAAGGGGAGGGGAGAGTGTGGATTTTTATAGCGGTTTCAGTGGGGCAATTGGCGAGTAAAAATGCGTATCGAGTTAATTTGATGTTATAAAGTAAAGGTAGAATCTTGAAAAGAGTATTGGGCTCGAATATCGAAGGTGCGTTGCTCAAAAACATAATTCACGTGATTATGTTTAACCACGATGAGTCCAAAGGCTTGCTTCGTTTCTCTGTTCTTTCTCGAATCGAAACTTCGCTCGAAACTTGTTACTTATCCTTCTTTATTTCAAGTATGCATTTCGATCTTGAACGATTTCCTTTTTTCGATTCCTATAAATTATTCCCACGCTTTTTCAACCTGGCAAATCGACATTTGGAAGGATAAAATTAGACGGCCCCATCCCACGCTTCTGCTCTCCTTCTCGGTATCCCCGATAACAATTTTCCTCTACGAATAGTTCGAACACCGGTAATCAGGACAACATTCCACGGTTAGAATTCCGAATATCCGAAGACGGATCTAAAAGCTATTCCTCCTTCCTTTCTTTCTCCTCGTCGGACCGATTTCAGTCCCTTTTCGGAATAAAAAATTCAACGAAACCGAAACACGGATTCCACCCTCGCCGCTCTTTCGAATGTGGCGACCTCCTCCTCCTCCGTTTCCCTTCCAAGAAAATCGATTTTACTTCTATATAAATTCGCTGCAATCGGATGATCTTGTTTAGAAAGAAAATGCTAGCGCGTTTGAAGCGCGGGATTAATTTCGAAAGGATATTTTATTCAAAAGTGGATCGATGCTACCCTTTTCCGGGATAAGGATTAATTTTCAACGACGAAATATCGAAATTTTTCCCCCTTTCTTTCATATAGATATCCCTTATTTAGGGCAAAAAGAAACTCATTTCGAACGAGTTTCCAATCCAAATCGAGATTAAAATTATCGAAATTCGCTTTCGAATAATAATAATAAAAAGAAGAAATCTGCTCGCTCGAATCGTCACTGCGCGTTTTTTTATCCCCCAAATTAATTTCGAATAACAATATTAATAAGAACTCTTTAAATTTACTTGAATCGTGACCACGCGTTTTTTATTAGTTTCGAATAACAATAACAATAAGAAATCCTTGTCACGCGCGTTTCTTTATCATTCAGATCATTATCGAATAACAATAACAACAGAAATCCTCGAATCTGCTCGCGATCGAATCACCACCGCGCTAGTATCACTTTCGAATAACAACAACAACAACAACAACAACAATAATAATAATAGAGATTCTCAAATCCTCGAATCAAATCAATCGAATCGTGTTTTTTATTCCCCACGTTAGTTTCGACTAACAATAATAACAAAAATTCTTTAAATTTACTTGAATCGAATCACCCCTTTTTTTCATTCCCTTATTAATAAATAAGAAATCCTTAAATTTACTTCAATCGAATTGTCACGCGCGTTTCTTTATCGTTCGAATCACTTTCGAACAACAACAACAATAATAATAACAGAAATTCTCAAATCCTCTCGCTCGAATCGAATCAATCGAATCGCACGTCGTTTTCAATCAATCGCCCGTTTTTTTAATCCCAGCAGGTAGAAATGTTACACGTGCCGTTTAATCATCACCGGCTCCTTGCCCTCGCAGAACGCGTGCGCGATCCGAGCGGGGATAATCGCTTTAAACCCGAAAAGCCAACTTGAACCGAGCAATTATTCCCCGGTCGCGCTATTACTCTCCATTTTCGCGCCGATTATCGCCACCTCGATCGCTCCCCCCAACGTTTAATCATCGTGATGCGCACCTCTTCCTCGCGGAATCGCGATCCGCCGATTTTCCCTACGACGATCCACGCTTTTGCCAACTTTCGCGAAACAATCGAGCCATCGTGAAAGCCCCATTGTGCTCCCCTACAAAGTGGAATTCGGTGATTCGGTAATGGAATGGACGGATGGATGCTTAAACCAAGAAATTTTTTTCTTTCTACGTTTTCGAGATTACTCCAAACTGCGTTGACTCTTTCCCTTTCTTCCGCTTTCGATACCAGATTTGTTTTTTTTTTTTTTTGCGGTTGTTCGAAAGAGGGAAAAAGTTTAAATTCTTTGAACGA